GGGTGGGCTGAGGAAGGGGCTGCAAGAAGGATGGAGAGGGACTTGGGACACGTGGAGTGATAGGAGAGGGGGGAACGGCCTTAAACTGAAGGAGGGTGGGTTTAGATGGGATATTGGGAAGAAATCCTTCCCTGTGAGAGTGGCGAGGTCCTGGCACAGGTTGCCCAGAGGAGCTGTGGCTGCCCCATCCCTGGAAGTGTCCAAGGCCAGGATAGACAGAGCTTGGAGCAACCTGGGCTGGTGGAAGGTGTCCCTGCCCATGGAAGGAAGTGGAACTGGGTGAGTTGAACATCCCTTCCCACCCAAACCATTCTGTGATTCTCTGACCCTCTGATAAGGAAGGCCAGGCTGGCAGCTGGTGGCACAGCCCTTCCTCTCTGCCATGGAAAGAAGGAAACATGCAGGGGCTCAGCAAAGCCACAGGGTAAAAATAAAGATTTTGCTGCTTCCTCAGGACCTGATGGCCACCAGCCAGGCAGTGCAGGCAGGGCAGGCAGGGCAGGCAGGGCAGGCAGGGCTGTCTGGCCCCACAGCAGCTGTTGGGGCTATTGCTGGAACCCGACGTATTTCCCCGAGGACAAAATAAGCCCCAGGTTGGGGAGGGCCCGGGGCCGGGGCTGCAGCTGGGGCTGAGTCACCCTGAAAGCCCTGGGGACCTGCCCTGGCATGGGCTGGGCAGCTGTGCCCGTGATCCTGTGGCATCCCCAAGGAAGGGCTCTGAGCCCCCTGCTCAGCTCAGCACCGTTATTGTACCACTGGATAAAAAAATCAGCCCTCGCCAGCAAAATGAGGGAATTCTGAGAGAGTATGGAAAAGATGAGCAGAGTAAGGAAGGTCTGAGGGTGACAGCATCCTGCCTCCAAACCCTGCTTCGGGAGAGGCCCAGGACAGCCTGGAGCTCCCACAGATCCCTGGGTCCTGCTGCTGTTCCCCAGCACCCACCAGCCTGGGCACTGATGGACACCCAGAGCACACTGAGCTCTAATAACCCCCTTGAATGGATCCCCCCAAGCCTCCCCCCAGCCCTCAAAATGCAGCTGCTCCACAGCACTCAGCTGTGCAGGGGAGAGCAGGAATGGCTGGACTGGGATCTGCTCCCTGGCTCCCGACCCGGCGCCTGCAGAGGGTGGTGATTGCAGCTCGTGCTCCCCAGGGAAGGATGTGACACCTCCTCTTCCCTTCCTAGCAAAATAAATAACTAAGTGGATGTTAAACAGAAGAGTGGAGCGAGCCCAGAGCCCTGGGGGATGGCCAGGACCTCAAATCCCTGGAGCTGAGAGGCAGCGGAGTGTTTTGGGGCTCTGGCCAGGGCTGGCTCGTGAACCTTGGGACACAGGGAGGACACGGGACCCCTGCTGTCACCCTGGGCTCTCCTGTGCACCACACCGGGCTCTGGTTGATGCTCCAGTTCAGGGTAAAAGGGTGCAACTGCCCCTTCCC